TGTTCCTATAATGAAGGAGGAAAAGCAGCTGAGTTTGAGGAGGGAAAAAAACACCTACATTTCATACAGCCATAAAAAGAGATAAGGAATTCTGGATGGAGCTAATAATTCCAGAGTCTGAATCTTTCAGAAGATGAAAAGAAGGACTGTTCTGGTTATCTTCCTCCTCCTTCAATTCATAGTGTGCACTGCGCCTACTGCACCAAAAGCAAGTTGAGGGAAGTGGAGAAATAATGACATGCAAACCAACAGACAAAACTATCATATTCCAGATATTTTTGTCTCTATCCTCAAGTCATTTCATTTCTGTCAAACTCTTTCACTCCAACTCGCTTTCCAAGCTGCATCCCAATTACAAATGGTCCCCACAACAAATCCTGGCCTGTTTTCCAGATGAAGCATTACCCACACCTCACACCAAGGGCAAAGCTAACAGGCAATTCAGAGATTGCCCTGGGGTCCTTAGACAATGAAGACCTTTATCCTACAGCCTCAGTGCCAGCTGCCGTTGTGACCTGCTTCACCATCCACACCATGCACAGGTACACAGAAGATGTGAAGCCTTTCTGCATTATCTGATCGTGGCATACAATTACAGACTTCATGCTTGTTAGCTGTCACCTTCTACCCTTATCAAGGCATCCCAACTCATGATTCATTACGTCAAACATGTAATACATGTCAGCTATATCAAACATGAAATTCTTACCCAGAATCTGGTCTACTATCCTGCAACGTGTTGTACAGTATGTTGGCAACCTCAGCAGGACAAAAGTATATGACAAAAGTATATGACTTTTCCTAATCCTCACAAAAATCCTTCAGAATAAATGAACAATTTATAGTGGGAAATTCGCAACCATAAAGCATGTAACCTCTGATCCACAGTCAGAGTGCTTTGGGGATACAATGAAATTCTCTGCAACAAGAAATCATGGATAAACACCTACAGGATCACTGGAATTAGTTCATCATCTCAGTGGCTGCAAGCACATTTGACCTTCCCACTTTAAGCCACATTCATTTCCACACAAGACAATGTTCCTCTGCTGAGATGACCAAGTTGGAATGGGGTGGGGATCTCCTTGGCAGAGTCTCCAAGTCACATCTACTATTTCTTCCCTTCACCCCTGCCCTGGAAAAGCAAAACAAGTGTGGGGCATCACGCAAACCATGCGAGAGGTCTTATATGTCCACAGGGTAACCGGCCCTGGGCACAGAGAGTTAGAGCTGGGAAGCATGCGTCACAGCATACATGGAGGGCATTCAGAACAGTCAATTGCCTAAGAAGAGAAGCCTTTGGTTACATCTATTAGATGAGCAAACAAGAAAAGGAGGAATCGGGGGCCAGGGGCAGGAGAAGAGCGGGGGGAAAAAAGTAAAAGAAAAAGAGGAATCATAGAGAATGTAATATCACATTTTAAATCACATTAGCATTTTTTAAAAGGGTACGGTATCCACTGCAGAAGAAAGTGCCATAAGAAAGTAAAATTATCTCCCTATGCAGATGTAGCTTCCAAGAAAAATGAAACACATTCAGAGTAGGCTGTTGACTTGCCACCATCTTTCATGCCAAGCCTGGGTTATCTTAGGCATTCCTTCCCATAAGAACTAGACCTCCCCTATTAATAACTGGGTAACATCACCCTTCCCCTCTCAAGTCAGAGGGTCCTACAAGCATAAATTAAATCATTCCTTTTATTTAACTGAACTTTTCAGATCAATATGATTAAAGACCAGTAATACGCAGCATGACAAGACCTCTAACACAGCACACAGAAAGGTACATTATCCTCCTAGTCCTACAGCGACTTTCCACAGCCAATGAAAGTATACGTCTAACAAGGTGTCCTAGTGCACAAGCCATGAAAATCCTCAGGCATGCTGAACGGGCTTATGTCAGTACCAAAGTTTATCATAAACATATACCAGGTCTTGATATGTTTTCTGAACAACCTTCCTCTTTTAAAATCTGGCCCTTGAGAAGAGCAGAGAAGTACTTCCCAAACTTTAATATGCATACCAATCACACTTGGGAATCCCATGCAGCTTCTGATTCAGCAGGTCTGAAGAGGGGCCCAGGCTTCTGATTTTAACAAGCTCCCAGGTGATGCAGATGAAGCTCATTGCTCTGAAACGGGATAATCTAGAAGCCTGCACCTCGAACTAAGACCCCTCTCTTCAAGTATGCTGAAATTTCTGAAGGACTCTGTTCATAATAATAGCTAGTACAGTACGTACTGGGTAATCAGGTAATGTTTTAAGCCCTTGACATATATCAACTCATTTAATTCTCCCAGTAACTCATGGCTATCACCCTTATTTTACAGATAAGGAAACTGAGTCACAGAGCAAGGAAGCAACTTTTCAAGGTCACAGAGCTGGTGAATGAACTAGGATTTAAACCCAGGCAGCCTAGCTCCAAGACTTTATGGCTAACCACGACTCATACCAACTCCCAGTAAGACAGAGCAAGATATTTCGGGGAGGAAGATGTACAGAAAGGAAGGGAAGGTGAGACTAGGAACTTAGATGCATTTTGGAGAAAACCCACAGAAGCGCAATGTTTCCACGTGGTCACCGCCAGAGGGAACATATTAGTCAATTACGTAGTACAGTCAGGAGAAAAAAGCAACAAGGTGTATTTTAAATTTTCCAACCGGGCGCCACTAAACACCTTAGCAGATGTTTTCTGAACATTGTTGAAACAGCCTGCACGCTGTAGAGCCTCTGTGAGATTTCCAACTATGGGGACAGAAGAGACCGCTGGGACAGGCTCGCCGCCAAGACACTGAGCATGATGCAGACATCAACTCCCCAGAAAGTCTCTCCTTTGACTCTCTTTGGTCTATTTTGGCAGAAGACAAGCCAGGGGAGGAGTAAGACCCACAGCCGCAACTCACTGCTCACAACGCCTGGTAGAAAGGCGGTGTCTTTGCAGCGGAAGAGAAAACGCGAACCGAGGCGACCGCGTGGTGGAGGAAACGTGCCGCATTCCCAGCCCGGGCCTGGGCCTGGCCGGAAGCACCCGAGGTGCTGAACCTGGGTCACTGGGGAACCCGGGGCCGCCAGAGAGCTTCCGTGGCGCTGCCCGCGGTGCCAGCGATGGCTGCGGGCACACTTTGGCAGCCGCGGGGCGGCTTTGTCTACCGCAAAGCGACGGGAGGGCGCCTGTCTGGATAAACCCGCCCCTGACAGAGGGGCACAGCGAAGCTGCACCTGGTGGATGGGAAAATTTAGAGAACTGTAGAAGGCGAGCGAGGGAGGGGGTCCAGCCGGGAAATCGGTAGAGGCCTGCCCGGAGGAGTGTTTGCAGCCGCAGCGCGCAACACAATGAGATCTGTCCGCTTTGTGCAGCGCACGGGCGGGCGTGACTGCAGGGACGGACCCTCCCTCGCCCGGATCCCCCACCCTAGAGACGTCCAACTCAGACAATGCTTAGCCTGGGATCACTCTGTGGGGGCGGGAGGGGGGAGGGGAACGCAGGGAGCAGTAAAGAGGGAGAAGCCCAGCCAGGGGTGGTTGTGGGAGGATGCGAACAGCAGCAGGAAGATCTGCTTAGTGATGCTCCTTCGTTTCTAATGAGGGGTGCTGCCTAGAAGCACCACGCGCCAGCCAATCGCCGAGCTGCTGAGGTTAGAACTGGGGAAGAAGGAGGAGAAGGCCAGAGACTGGGGTGGGGGTAGCAGGGAGATGCCCAGGCCCGGGGGAAAGCGAGTCGGGTGACTGGCTAACAACACACACCGAACGCCGCTCCAGCCGTCTCACTGCTGCACACCTGGACGGTGCGGGTGGGGAGGAGGGAGATCCAGGGAGAAGAGGAGGGGCCTCCTTCGCGGGTGCAACCTTCCCAAACCTCCCTCCACAGGCATCAAAGTCCGTTTCTCTGAGCCCACCCCCATGTTTAACACACCACCACCAGCTTGCTCCCACTAATCCCTTCCACCACCCCCACTCCCTGATGGCCTTGCCAGACGTCCAAATCCTTTGTGAAAAACCAGGCAGCCTGCATTGGGTGCACTTATTCAACCTGCAAAGAAGATCCTTCCATGCCCATTCACCCCAGCACCACCATCAGAGGTGGCTCCACCAGCTCCTTGTGCAGAGCAGTTCTTCTGGAGCAGGAAAGGATTGCTTGCACACCTCTGGCCCTCTGCTGATGAATTCAGGCCCAGGAGACCTGCCTGGATCCTGGGTGCTGGGAGAAGCAACCCACTGGGTCAAGAGCTAAGAAGTAGAAATACCTAACACAGGGCCAAGGAAACCATGGGCCCTGATGAGACGCTCCTCCTTGGCTGAGAAGGGAATTCCAACTTGGAGCTGTCTGGGCTGTGCAACAGAGATCACCTCCCCTGACACTCATTCATTCCACTTTCAGTGGAACTTAAACTTAGCCCCCAGAGTTCGCTGGGTCCCCAGCCAAAAGGCTGTTTTATTTATTCATTTGTCTATTTGTACACAAGGTTTTGGCCCAGGGCTCTTGGCGCTTCTAAATGCATAAATCCCTTCATGGAACCTGGACTGCTCTACAGAAATTCAGCGCAGGTATCTCTCCAGCTGGTGGGGATGGGGGCAGAGGGGCTGACTCAGAAGAAGGAAAAAGGGGAAATGATGATGAAATAGAGCCCTGAGATGCGGAGGCAAGCAAATCTAGATAAGAGTGCAGCCTAGGAAGGGACTGGGGGTGGGGAGGGGTCTGGGAATCAGACAAAGCCCAGCCCAGAAAGGGACGCACCCAGGGACACTAGAGATTTCCACATAGGAAAAAAAAATCAAAAAACCAAAAGTCTTACCTTTCAAAACACTAGCGCCCAAACTGGTCTCCAGGGCACAAAGCTTGCCCCTCAGATGCACCCAAGTAAAGAGTGCATTTCAGCAAAGGGGGAAATCGGTACCCACAAGGGAAGGGGGACACGTTCCATTCCATGCTTGGACACCCCCCTTGACCCGGAGAAGAGCAAGAGGGGGAGAGGGGCGTCATGGTGGGCTAGAAAGGATATGGCCAGTCGATGAGCTTCTTGGCGTATTTCCTGACAATGTTATCTTCTCCGAAGATGAACAGGGATCTGTTGACGGTGAAACAGTTCTGCCGGACGGGAATGGGGTTGTACAAAGCCATAGTCCGCGCCCTCTGCGCTTTCGTCTGCTTGTAGGCGGCTGCGGGCCCCGAGGCCGGCACGGGGGTTCCTTGCCGGTTCCTGCTCTGGTCCGAGTCTCCATCGCCCGACCCCGGCCTGCCGACCACCGCCTCCCCGAAGCGAGCCATCCTGAAGTTTAAACAGACAGAAGACACACAGAGGTGATCGCGGCCGAACACCCGCACACAGCAACAAGCAGAAAGACACACGGAGACTCAGCGCCGCATCCAGACAGGCGCGGGGACCACCGCCCCGGGGCGCCTCGCGGGATCCTGGAGACACGGCAGCCGCAGCCCCGCCGCGCGAAACTGTTGA